CGTCTCCATCCTTTGCTTGGTCAAATTCATCCGGCAAGATCATCTGAATGCATCATGCAATGTCTGCAAAAGTATTTCGGGGTTTATTGGAGACCGCCTGGAGGGTGAGGCGCATTGGAACACTGTATGGTTTACCTCCTGTGTTCTTAAGGACCACGATCCGTCGTTCGAAATCCAGACTAGCTTGCAACGCATTAAGGGCAGACAATCCAATAAGCAAGTCGTAAGAGGTTACGTTGAGGACTATCACATCCACAAGGGCGTGAACTTTCCCTATCCGGAAAGCAGCGTTCGTCATCCGTCCAGTTGCTCTAATCCTTCCTTCGTTGGCCGAAATGAGGTGGTCACCCTCCGGAATTGGGATTAAAATTTTCTTTCTCCCCGCCCGTTTGACTTGTCGAAGTGATATGGTCAGGACAACCACTCCTAAGTTGATAACGACGATATACGACATTTCCCATACTTCCACATCACAATCCACAAACTTCCACGGATGGGTTTGATGCGCAAGAAGTGATCATTTTTTTTAATTACCCCTATGCGTACAGGTTCCAAGGTGCTCGCCATGCCCGATTTTCGTTTTTTGGCGGGAACTTTTCCTTTAAAGGCCGCGAGTTTCGCGAGAGTGAAACACTTTCTGCTGGCCTTGCAATGCTGTAACATACGATCATTGACATGTTCTGAAATAGACAAGAGATGTCCGATTGGAAGGGGGATACAATGATCCAGTGCTCTAAATATATAGAGCACATCGATTTCTCCGGTGACAAAGGCCAGTCCGCTTGATTCCATCTCACTAGGCGAAAGCCTCCATTCCGAAATTCCCCGTTCGTCAGCGGCCCGTTGAACAGCTCCTATCATTCCCAATCCCGGGTATCCCGGCGTGGCATATTGATCGAGGAGAATGAGCTCAGCAGCCTCATATATGGTAGGGTCGCGGTCACTACCCCGTCCGTTCTTTCCACCATCGTCCCAGCTCGTCCAGGTCCATTCGCTACAGGCACTGCCACAGCGGGAGCTGCTCCTATCTGAGCTTGAGGGGGTCGGTTGGGACACTCCTGTGCTATATACCCAGGTTGATGACACGTGTAGCATCCATTTGTTCTTGTGGCAGGTGCTGCAACGGGTTCCCCAACCGATTGTGCCTGCTGGGTTCCTACGGGAAACATCGTGGTTCGAACGGTAATAGGGCGCATTGAGCGCATGTGTTTCAGCACAGAATATGCCTGACCCGAACTTCCTTTGCCATTCCATTTGCCCAATCGTCCAAAACCACTTTCCTTGTATCTGTTGGCACATTCCTTAATCATCTTCTCTTCATTACTGCAATGCAAGAAACCAGGGTTAGCCAAAAACAACTTTTCCATACTCTGACAACACACCAAGGAGTCCCCCGTGTTGTGGTCAATTGGGCGCCTAACCAAATCTTCCAGTCTTTCCTTCCATCGCAGGACGTCACCCATACTCATTGCACAACTCCCTGGCTTATCAGTTCGCAGCCAGGAGGCTGCGCTTGTGTGGGTTCCATTTTCATCGTTTTATGTTCTTTCTATTTTCGGTAAGGTCGTGCAGTACATCTTCGCTAGGACGGGTTCGTTTGGGGTCTTTGACAACAGAAAACAGGGTCCGGGCGCAGTCGTCCCTAAGACCGGTTGTAGGGGAGGTTATCTTGTCAAGGTCGTTGCAATTTAGTATAGGGCACCGTCCATTGTTTCCCTTTTGAGGGATAGAGTTTTTTCCCGTTGCAAACTGGGGGCGGGCTATATGGGTCTTGGCGGGCAATTTGGGTCTGTTTTTTTTTTTTTTTGCTCTTCCACTGCATTTTCCCAGAAATACAGTATCTAAGCATTCTGCTGTTTACTACGACCAAGTACTGAAATCTAGAACGGATACTAAGAAAAGAAAAGGGAAAAACAACGTACTCACTTTCGAAAAAAAAAGAAGGAAAAACATACTTACCTTTGCCATAGAGCTGTGGAGATGGGGGGCCTTGCTCCAGTACTGACCAAATGTGCAAAATGAGCATGAATCTTCTGGGAGAACATAGGTAGATACACTGCTAGTAGTTTAGAGCTTGAAATGCCCTTTTTCCTGGCCACCTGTGGGGTGATACAGCCCTCAACAGCTTGCTAGTAATCTTTTTTCAGTTCTCCCCCCCCCCCCCCCCCCGCCCCTCCTGCCATCGAAAAATCTGGGCTCCATCCAGCGGCCTAGCTCAATTGGTTAGCCACGCAAGTGGCATTCAGGTGGTTGTGGGTTCAATCCCCATGGCCGCCTGTGGCACTCTTGGTGCCAACCAGCTGAGATAGTCAGCTGGATCCTCCCAGTGGGTATCAGTAGGGTCTCCAGCCAACATGGGTGGGAGTGGACGTGTGAGTGGGTTGTGTGTGGTGTGTTGGAGAGTGTTGGCTTTAGACACTACCATCCAGACGGCTGCACATCCCCCACTTCATAAGACCTTTGCCAAGCTTACTGTCTAGAACATAAATCATGCTACCCGAATGGCTGCTTCCCCGCATCAAAGGCAGTATAACAGTCGCTCTGTTGAAACAAGCATCGAAGTTCCCGTACGGCAAGGTTCGTCGGCTTCCGCTTCCATCAGGGCTGGGAGGTTGGCCCAGCCTTGGTGCTTGTCACTGCTGTCTGGTCCAAGTTGCCCTCGATACTGGTAGGGTGATGGTCCTGAGTGTTGGCCACACTGAGGTAGGATAGTAGGGACAGGGGGTGCGCTGGGAGTATTAATGTAGGGATGGGTAGGGTAGGTGGCCTATCATGTCAGGACAACCATTAGCCGCCACTAATAGCAAAAAAAAAAAAAAAAAAAAGAAGCATCAATCCATTCCTTATGAAATAGGTCTTCTTCCAAAGTCGGCAAGAAGGACGCCTGTGCAAAGGAAGAGAGAACGGGCCTCGCTGCACTACTCTAGACTCTTGAATTTTCTAGAATGGGTCGTCGCTGCACTTACTCTCGATCGGGAAACTCTCGAAACCCGATCGAGAGCTGTCAGAAGGCACGCTTTATAGCATAACTGACGCCTTCATACATAGATAGGCATCAGAGAGCCTTTCCTGAACCGTATGTGTTAAGTTTCCTCGCATACTGCTCTCACGGAGGTCCTTAGTTAGCGACTGTAAGTAAGCCGGCAGAGGCTTGGCAACTGCGACCTGGATGGACACCGTGTGAATGATCAATCAAATCTGTGTTCTCCATAGGACCCTTTGTGATCTCTCCAGACGTCGAGAGTTGCCCGCCTGTAAAACACGGATTCACAAGTGTCCCCGGGAGTTGCCCGCCGTCGAGAGTGGACCTCCTGTCCCGGTGGCCAGACCAGCCTCGTGTTGTCCCGTAGCGTAGCGGTACATGTCTTCTGTTGTGTCCGACGACGCCCCGGGTTTCGAGAGTGCACCTAGTGTAAAAGGTTCTACAGTAAGTGCAGTGACGACGGCTATTTCGAGAGTCTCGCCTCTCTGACAATGCTAGTGGAACTCTCAAAATATTTCGAGAGTCTAGAGTAGTGCAGCGAGGCCCAATCTGCTGGATCAGTCCCCGCCGTGAAGTATCGCGATCGGTCCTAGAAATATTTCAGTAACGGCCGTCCATTAAGGGCGCAGCTGTCCGCTGTGCCCCTTGCTGACAGGGGCGTGCAGGAAGTTCAGAGGCCCCACGGGCACAACAGGGAAGTGGTCCGTCCAGGGGCGCGACCCAAAAGAATAGAAATCACAGGGGCGCCAGACAAAATTTCCCTTCTTTTTGAAGGAAAGTGACTTTATATATTGCAAATACTGAAAAGAGAGGCCGGGAGGTCCTCACAGACAAAGGAGGTCGAAAAAAAAACAAAAACAAAAAAACAAAGGAGGGGACACGTAATGATTCGGTTAGACCCACCACTCTGGACATGCACAAAAGGCAAAAATCATGGCGGTGCTCGCAGCTAGGATGGCTGCATATACATGGATGTCTCTTGTCGTTCAGCGCTGGGTTTCCATATGGTATGGAGAACTTTGCGGACCTGCTAAAGGGGTATATACGGCATCGTGGCGCACATAACAAGAAAGAGTAGTTTCCTGGGGCGACAAGGTGGCGGTCGTGAGAGAGGGTCCCGTGATGGTGCTGTGAATTGGCGTGGTTCTAGTATTCTAGTATAGGAATTTTTTTTTTTAATATTATCTGACCGTTCATTGACTACAGAGATCCACGGGTACAAGTTAATGTACACCTAATATGCAAAATGAGAATGACTCTTGCACTAGTACATGGAAACATATGACTCTTGCACTAGTACATGGAAACATACACCCACCTATTGTTTGTCTTTTGTGCACCGTCTTCCCCCGAACATAAGGCACCCTAAAAATGAATGTGTATGCAAGCTATATTTCCCGCCATTTACAGCCAAAATGAGGGTGCGTTGTGCTCGGGGGACGACGGTGGGGTAGTGGAGGGAGACCCCCTGTAGTCACACACACCACTCTGGGCGATACGTCCGCCTTCCTGGCTGCGCGCCCACACGCCCAGCGTGGTATCAGTATCTTTCCACGTTCTAGCGAAAGATTCACTCTCGTTTTGCACATTTCGACAGCAGTGGAGCGAGGCCCGAAGCCCCGCTCTTCCTCGGACCACGCTGATGTCGAAATGTGGAAAAGACAAAAATGTGGCGGGTGCATCTGGCCATGTTCTAGCATGAGGTTCATTCTCATTTTGCACATTTAGAGAGTGGTGTGGCTATGCCCTTAGGGTGGTGTTCCACCACCCTCGACATACACAAGAGACAAAAAATATGGCGGTGTATCTTCCCATGTTTTGCTGGAAGTTTCGTTCTCATCGTCCCAATTTTAGCGGATGTCCCCAAGGACTGTCATCGGACTTTTTTTTTTTTTTTTTTTTTTTTTTTGCACTGTCACACCGGACTGAGATTTTCGTTGGTTTTTTGGGTACTCGGCGGGGCTGGGAAGAAGGGTGGGCAATTCGTGTTGCCGACTGGGGTTCGTTTCAATGACGACGCCACCACCGGCTATGGCAGAAGCTGCGGCTATGGAGGCGATGGAGGCGACGAGGCAAATGGCTGGAGCGGGGGGTGATCGCGGAGGGCGTGCGGAGAAGAGCGGGAGCGCGGACGGAGAGGGAAAGGGGGGGATGGGGTCATGGTTGTCATCGTCGATATCATCCACCTTTGCCGGGGTCGGAGAAAACATAGGCTTGGAGAAGAGATCTGCTGCTGTCCCCGATCTCGTCGAGTTCGACATCGCTATCGTTTGTACCTCGCCTCTATCTTGTAAGGAAGGAGAAAAGAGTAATGGCGCCGCCGCCATAGCTGAAGGGCAGACGAAGTCGGAGACAGAAGGAAAGGAAGAAGAGATGGACAAATCACTGCCGGCGGGGAAGAAGATGTACGATCCCCTCGAGTACTTGGTCGATAGACTAGTGGCAGCTGGCTTGGTGGTAGATACAGTGCCGAGCACTCAAGGGGAGCTGTTCCTCAAGGTAGGCGATTGTTTTGCATTAGCCTCCTCCGATTCCTTCTTCTTCTTCTTCTTCTTCTTCTTCTTCTTCTTCTTCTTCTTCAAGGTAGGCGATTGATTTGCGTTAGCCTCCGATGCCTTCTTCTTCTTCTTCTTCTTCTTCTTCTTCTTCTTCTCTTCCTCAAGGTAGGCGATTGATTTGCCTTAGCCTCCGATGCCTTCTTCTTCTTCTTCTTCTTCTCTTCCTGAAGGTAGGCGATTGATTTGCATTAGCCTTCTTCTTCTTCTTCTTCTTCATGATGTTGAGGTTGTTGTTGTTCTGTAGTGGGAGGAAAGGTTGAAGAGGGAGCACAGCCGGCAGGAAGGCGTTGGGCAAAGTGCTTGTTCTGAAGGCATACTCGCCGCACGGGGACTTTCTCGAGGGAATTTGACTGTAAATCAGGTTGGATACAGACATGGAAGTCCTCGTGTGAGTATGCCCCGAGACTCTGAGACGAAGGAGTGTAATAATGTATGTGATTGTCACAGCACCGGACTTGAATCGGAGGCCTTTCCCTTAGCAAGGGAATGCTCGACCACCTGAGCTACCTGGGCTCACGGGGAAATTGGAGACGATAGGACTGAACCGATAACTTCATACTTGCAAAACATGCGTTCTACCACTTGTCACGTGTTATACTTGAACGAATTGGTCATTGCTTGTCACTATTCATCTTCTTCTTCTTCTTCTTCCTCCTCGTCTTGTTGATTGCTAACCTGGCACAGCAGGCATGCTTATCCTCCTTCCTCTCTTGCTCAGGTGGGAAGTCAGGTGGATGCGGGAGAGAGGTTTGCCCCTTGAGGAGCCTGGTGCGCAGCCAGGCGAACCGCGTCGGGGAATGTGCGCGTTGAGTGGTTTTAGTCCGTGTGGGAGTTGTGCTGCATATCATCCGGACATGGACACATAGCGCTGGCCTCGCTACTTAAATTCAATTCTTCTTCTTCTTCTTCTTCTACTTCTTCTTCTTGATTGCTAACCTGACATAGCTGGCATGTTTCTTCTTCTTCTTCTTCTTCTTCTTCTTCCTGGCGGAAACGCGTAGGGGAAATGCGCGTTTCATGCTGAGAACAGTACATGCGGAGAAGTAATGCAAATCTGTCTGTCGATGCGTGTACGAGAAGCAGTCTATGACTCTATGGCCACTGTTTTCACTATTTCCACTATTCTTCTTCTTCTTGATTGCTAACCTGACATAGCTGGCATGTTTATCCTTCTTCTTCTTCTTCTTCTTCTTCTTCTTCTTCTTCTTCTTCTTCTTCTTCTTCTTCTTCTTCTTCTTCCTGGCGGAAACGCGTCGGGGAAATGCGCGTTTCATGCTGAGAACAGTACATGCGGAGAAGTAATGCAAATCTGTCTGTCGATGCGTGTACGAGAAGCAGTCTATGACTCTATGGCCACTGTTTCACTATTTTCACTATTCTTCTTCTTGTTTTTGTTGATTGCTAACCATGAGCAACAGATATGGGGAGGTAGATCGAAATGGTTTTCATCAACCTAGTGTATATTCCATTTCTCCGTAATATCCGTTTCATATGTGTATGTGACTCCCTGTGCTCTCTCTGTCTGTCTGTCTGTCTTGTCTGTCTTGTCTGTCTGTCTGTCTGTCTGTACACACACAAATTGGTGTCTCTACCCGAGTTCTCTCCGGCTCACGCACAGACATACGTCACGGTTATTAAAAAGTCCAGACAGTGTGACGTCGATGAATCGATGATGAGAGAGTGCTTATTGAGATAGTGGTTATTAAAAAGTGCTTATTGAGAGAGTGGTGCAGCAATCGCTCTTGCACAGCCACGTGTGTGACGTTGATGTTAGTGGGAGGGAGAAAAGGACACGTGTGCATCGTCTGCTGTTCCATTCTGCACGCGATCAAATCATCACCTGTAGGAGTAGCCAACACTGTTAGATGTTGAGTGGACTCTTGGGTCGATCCGGCAAAGATTTTTGTTGATTTGTTTTGATTTGTTTTCCCGATATAAATTAATTTCTGACGTACTTGTTAGCAGTAGAGCACAGCCGCTGCAGTCTGCGGGTACGAACAGCAGCAGCAGGAGCAGCGGGAGCAGCAGGAGCAGCAGGCAAGAGGAGGAGGAGGAGGGGAAAAAGGAGGAGACATGGCAAACCGTTGCTGCTGCTGCTGCTGCTGCTGCTGCTGATGATGATGAGATGAATCGATGATGATGATGATGATGAGATGAATCGATGATGATGATGAGATGAATCGATGATGATGATGAGATGAATCGATGATGATGATGAGGATATAGCGACTACCTGGGCAGGGCTTTGGCAGCGATTTCACACTGGAGACCTAGCGGCCGCTGCAAAAAACCTATGGAAGCGTTGGGCACAGGCCATGAAGTGCTTGTTGATCGAGTCGCATCGATTATCCGGGGAGTAAGCGCCTGAACCTGGATGCCTTTATGCAGAGATGCAGAAAACAGATCATCGCCATTTTCTGCACCTCTCCACAAACAAGTCCAGATTCAGGCGTTCAATGCAATCCTCTTTTGCTGCCGGTAGTGGGACGTCGCCCCAGGTCTAAAACCCAAGAGATGGGAAAAGAAGAACGGATTGAGACACTCACGGGCGCCCGTTGAAAATAGTATTAAATGGCGAATTGAAAATAACAATGAATTGAAAATAATGATAATGACAAGGGTGAGAAGAATAGTGATAAACAGAGGCCATAGACTGTCAGTCGTGCACACTCCGACAAAAATTCCATATACATCCGGATGCACCGAGCTCAGTAGAAACGCACCTCGTTGCCCTACGCACGTTTCACCCACGAAGCGCACCTGGCACTAATTAGGGGTCTTAATTTCCAGATCCGCCTTACGGCACCCACTTTTTTTTTTTTTTGTTTTTAAATAAAGGAAGGGTACTTGCATTGTAAGCCGGGAAAAGGGCCCGGGGCCAAGTCCCACGAGCAGCGCTGCTAGTGGGACTTGGCCCCCGGCGTCCCACCTTTTTTTTTTTCTTTTTTTTCTTTTCCTGAGGACCCTGAAACAGGAAAATGAGAGAATGAGAGCGATGGCTAATCCGAACAAATCGAGCACGTCAGCTACAGTGTGAGTCTCGATTTGTTCGGATTAGCCAATCTGAACTGTTCAAATAGAGTGCCAACACTCCCAACACAACAATAAGCATCATCATCATAATAATAATAATCATAATAATAAAAATATATTATTATTATTATTACTATTATATATAAAATAATAATAATAATAATAATAATAATAATAATAATAATAATGTAACGCAAGAATTGCTCCATTTGGGCAGAAGGGATTATGGATCGGCGGGATTCAGGTGGGCCATTGTTAGAGCAGTTCTTTTTTTTTTTTTCAGAGCAGTGTATGGCGAGAGAGGGAGGACGGGGAATCGAAGGTTTGAGGAGAGAGCCACGGGGAGGTCTGGAAGAAGGGCTGGGCGCAGGTTCGACTGAGCTACTGCTAGATCAGTCGAGGGTTGGGTCGGAGGGACGGCAGTGAATGATACGGTGAGGAGTGGGCAGGTCAAGCAGAAGGGATGTGTGCGGGTGGCTCCTGTTGCCGATTGGGCCAGCTATTTCTGTGGGAATCGAGGGGAGGAGGGGAGAGGGGGCGAGATGGACTGGTGGGCTGTGTGCGTTGGCTCCTGTGGAGGGCTGGGCCAGCTATTTCTGTGGGAAATGAGGGTGGAATAGAGGGGGGCGGGTAGGGGGAGGTGTGGGGAGGCGAGATCGATTGGGATGGATCACAAGCCCCCAAGTTTTGCGGGGAGGGAAGGAGATCGACTGGAGTGCATGACCACCCCCCAGGGTTTTTCTCGGGGTTCGGGGGGAGAGAGAGAGAGAGAGAGAGAGAGAGAGAGAGAGAGAGAGAGAGAGAGAGAT